CAAGGGCAGGTTGGATAGGGCTCTGAGCAACCGGATCTAGTTGAGGATGTCCCTGCTCACTGCAGGGGGGTTGAACTAGATGATCTTTAAAGGTTCCTTCCAACTCAAAACATTCTATGATTCTCAGTTTGACATCTACTCAATTAAAAGAAACAAGAAGTAGCTCAAAATACCACATCTGCTCAAGAGGCTGCCTGACAAGCCAGGAGCTACATGGTCATGTCATCTTTTCCTTTTAAAAGATCTCCCTCCTTCCCTCTCCTCAAGTGAAAGAACAACAGAAATAATTTGCTCCCTGTGAAGAGCAAACAGAAAAAATGGCACTATTAAAAATATTGGAAAACATACCCGAGAAACTCAAAACAGGCAGAAAAGCATCTTTCCATGCCATTCCACGGCTGGTAAGGGGTTGGCCTGCTGTTGGCTACGAAGAACGCTGTTCACACAGGAAACATGTTAAGGGTGTGCTGTACAGGGTACAATTAGGTTCCAGCTCAGAAGATGATCAGGTCAGACGTACTTGGGAGTTCATGCAGCAGCAATAGTACAGAAATTAACTGACAACAGTCAAATATGCAGAACTGTGATGAACTTTTTTTGTGAGAACTAGTCATTATCCAAGTGATGAAAGCGATCTTATTTAACAAAGTCCTCAATATGGGATCCCATTAACAACCTCTAGCACTACTGGCAGCAGTAGCTATGCTTATTTGAATAATTCCCTGAGTTACTGAGCTTCAGCCCTTGCTAAAATCCTATGCTGACTTGCAACCATGGGGAAATAGCTTGTACATCTTCAGATAGCTTAACAGTGTAGTGCACCTGTTTTTTATCACACTTGCATCAGCTTCACATTGTATACCTCTTTTCACTGCAACAGATTCATCTTAAAAAAACACAAGAAAAAAATCCAGGCCTATACAGCACCATCCTCAACCTCCCTGTTTAAAGCATATGAAGATACTTTTATACAATGTCATTAGACAATAACCAATGTTAAGGTAGCCAAAGAACAACGTATTATTCTAAACCCTATCTCAAATATTACCAACAGGAAACTAAAACAAATTAATCTGAACTACAGTTTTAAGAACACGTTCAATAGAGCACAATCAACCTTGAGGAATAGGAAAGGAATTTCTTATAAACAATAAGAAAAAAAATTGAGTTCTACGATACTACACACTGTTTCTATGGTTTATGCCTTTACTATTGCAAATCAAATATTTTACATATCTCGAAACCACTTTCTTTGATGAAAACCACTATAAATGGATTATTTTGCCAAAATCAAACTATCTCATCTCCTTATATGCATATATGTACAAATTTATCTCCTTTAAAAAAATATTAAAATCACATTTGTCAAATAGAGCCCTATTTTTTTCTTCCTGGTTTGCATTTGGTTGTTTATGGAGATGACAGGTCTTTCTATGTTCCCTATAAAGATTTAAACCATATTTTTCACTACATCATGCATAAAGTTCCTTCACACTAACACTGAAAATGTCTAGGGGAAAAAAACTCTCCCACAATCAAGTTTCAGCGCAGTTTTCCAGAGGTATCACTTTTCAACTCTATTCCTGTAGCTACAACATCTGAATTAAAAAAAATGAAAGGCAGTACCAGCAAACAATTCTGTTCACTTCAAAGCTTAGAAGAATTAAAATTTCTCTGATTCTTGAAATCAAAGAGGTGACTCCACTGGTAAATGCTTAGGCATCACTCTGGCTAGTTAACCTCACAAGTCAACTAAATGCAAGAGTAATTTATTCAGTTCTCAGTCTAGTCTGACATAAAACCTGTATTTCCCCTGATTCCTAATTAGCCAAAGTACCTGTCTTCTTTCATGCGATAATTTCATAACCATTAGTGTAAAGCATTAACACATTTTTCTTTCAATCATATTTTCCTCCTGTTGACTGACACACCTTTTCTAGTGAGTGTACTTGTGCCAGTTTCAGCTTTGTGGGAACTTGCCCCAAGGTCTTTAGTAAAGTTGCCTCCCATACACATATAACAATGATATATAATAATAATGGTAGGTATGTGAAGAGACATATGTCTTACCTTAGAAAATATGAATGGAAAATTATGCACTGGAGGAATGTAGCCATTTCCATTTGAGCATATTTATGAAGCTAAATTGCACAGTACTTAAAATATGGTAGAATGCAGTGTGATTAACTCCTTGACAACATGTTCAGGTGGTGCTTCTCATTAAATAATTTAAGGTTTTCTTTGACAGACTAAACTTCTTACAGGATGCCTAATAATTCTAGGAAAATTAATCAAACCCAATAAATTCCTTTCGTGGGCACACAAAACTTACTGTATGCAAGATCTGGCCAAGTATTCATCTGGTACATGGCTATATCCAGTAAACCATACTCAGCATTTGTTTCTTAGTTCTATTTTGACTTATTAATTAGGAGTTTTTTTGAAAGACTATTCTGAGTCTTTAAATACAGAGCTGGTTGAAATATGCAGGAAAGTGTTATGAAACATTCATCCACATGAAATATGAAAAGTTTCAGGTAATTTTTAAATTCTTTCTAGTCTTTCTCTCATTGAGTCTCTGTTAGTTTTCCCTCACAGTGATCTGAACTGACTTTATCCTGCATAGGTGTCAGGAAACAGAGGTGCCCCAGGTCAGAGATCTTCTTAAACTCTGCTAAACTCTCTGAGGAAAAAGCACGGACAGAAAAAAAAAAAGGAAATCAGCTTTCTTGTTTGAAACGTTCACAGTATTCAGCTTGATTGCTTAGGAACAAGTGATTTACTTCATTTCCATGTGCAGAGCCATTTGCTGTGGTTTCGCATGCCAGCTGTCTTTCAGGGGAAAGTTTAGCATTCTTCTCATTGCCCGTTCCTTGTACAACAGCACCTGATGCATGACAGAAGCAAGCCTGAATCATGCAGATGCATGCACTGCACCATCAGGGCACAAAATACTTGTCACCCTTCAAGTCACAAACACGACTGGGAAATGTGATGGCACATCTCTCTGCAGGGAGCCTCTCAGCCCCACCTGCCCTAGTGACGCGCTGGGGGGGGCTTCACAGCACTGTATGTACCATCAGGATGCTGCGAGGATTGCCACGTTGCTTCGCCAAAGGCGCTCTGTGGCTCAATCAAGTCAGCAACTGCAGGTTTTACAGACATGACTTAGCCAGAGACACTTATACTAGCCAACTCTACCTCTTGGACAGGCTTTGTAGCCAAGCGCTGGTCCCCAGGCTGCTGGGACTGCACTGGTGCCTTGTCACCAGCACAAGATAGGGATGTCTACACAAGATGCAGTGACAGCAGCTGAACGCAAAGCTGGCCCATTGTAGGTGAAGGCGTCTTCACATACAGAAGCTCCACCAGCTTATCTTAGAATCAGTGCAATTAAACTGGTGCAAGGCAGTTTAATTAAACCAGATGCTCTCATGTGGGCTCAATAGAAAGTATCCTGGTTAGCTTGCATCTGAACATTCGCCAGTGCAAGCTAATCCACTTTAGAGAGGTTTAAACCCATATATGTGTTCCTTTTCAAATTTGCACTAGCTTAGCTAACCTATTACTAAAATTACTTCAGTTAAACCAGAACAAGTTTAACCAGGCTAATTATTTAGACATTTTTAGAAATATTAATCTCTTTCACTAATCAGCTTGGTTTGCTGATTGTGGTGATAAGAATAGCCTGCCCTACCTTTGATTATACAATGCAATTTTGGCAATCCATGTACCAAGGACTAGTAAGGCTGTAGTTGATGCCTGCTTAATACATTACAAGGAGTACTAAGGCACAAGTTCCTTCATCAAGGACTTTTCATTTTATCAACTTCAAGATTTGACCTAAGACAGTTAAAAACCATTGTACCTCTGTACGTTTTCTACTTCTCAACCTGCTGCCTACTGGTCTTTGCTGTGACCTGACCTGCAAGCAGCTAGTGTGAGCACAGGAGTCATCCTGCGCTGCCAGCTGCATAAAGATGGGAGTTCAGGCACTGCTGCACTGCTGACTTGCTGTGTGTCACCTGAATTTCACAACTATGCAGGAAAGCACCACCAGATTACTTAATCGATTACAACAAAAGTACACTATTGTCCCCTAAGACTTTTAGCTGTTGTGTTTTTACATGCTGCTCCACAACTCTCACAATAATGAATGAATGAAGACACCAAGTGAGATCAAAACTAGCATTGTGCAACATCAAAAATAAACCCCAGATAGATTAGAGTTTCTTATTAGCATGGGTTTAAGTCCTTCAGGGAATTTTCAGTGCAATGCAGTGCTCAGATAGGTGGCCTCTTCTACACATTTTTGTAGCCACAGTTAATAACTGCCATGCAATCTACATATTTTGGGGGATTCTGGCAAGATACAAGAATAAAGAAAGGTAATGCAGTTAGAACTACTTTTACTAAACATGGAAACTTATTGTCAAAAATTTTATTATCCCTTACAGCTTAAGTCATTTTCTTTGCACAACTACAAAGTCTGTCGATTTGTTTTCATTTCATTCTCAATGAAGAAAGAAGAGGGTATTTGACCATCAGTTATCATTTTACGACAGTAAAGCAAAAGCTATTTAACTAGAAATCATCAAGTAATGCACATATGTTCTAAAACAGCCAATAAATGCACTTGAAACAGCAAGAGTGACTTCAGCTCACAAAAAAACCCCCAACAAACCCCAAGTCAGAAAGCAGCGGGAAAGGATTTGCAAGGAACAACATTCTGAGTATTGTTATGCAGACACAAACTGGGGTTTTGGTGTGTTTTGGGGGTTGGTTGGTTTGTTTTGGTGGTTTTTTTTCAAAAGCTTTCTGTATTTCTGTTCTGCTCATTTTCTCACCTACTCTGAAAAAGCTTGGAAAGTGGCATGCACTTGTTCTAGCAAAATCTATTGCTTCCACCACTACCAAGCTGTCTTCATTCCTAGGACTATTCATTCTGAGAGGTGCCAAACCGCCCATACTACTTGTTAATGAAATAAAATAATAATTACCATTATTAAAGGCATCCTTGTTACTTTTGCAGGAGAAAGACATCTGCTGATAAGGACCAGTGGATTTCCACAGTGCACTGGTTAATGCTGGTTGACAAGAAGTGTCCATTTTGAGGTCCACCTGATTTTCATTAGTCCTTGCTATATCAGAATTTGAGACGTTCGGCCCATACACACCATCCTCATAAACGAGAGAAGCATCCGATCTGAGATTGCTTAGAGACACACACACTACAGCTTCATTTAAGTAGAATGTATTTTTGCCATGTAAGTTGTCCGACTTATGATGTCCCATTATCTGCAGAAGGGAAAAAAAAACCAAACAAACAAAAAACAAAACAGAGAACAGCATTTTCACCTTTGTCCAGCACAGAATCACAGAATCACAGAATATCTCAAATTGGAAGAGACTCATAAGGATCACTGAGGCCAACTCCCTGTTCCTTGCAGAACTAACTGAAACTAAATCATATGACTAAGAGTGTCATCCAGAAGAATCCTTATACCAGGATAACTAAAATTAACTGCTAGACAGAATGGATATTCATAGCAAATAGTCACCTCATTTCCCAGAAGTTAACCTCAAAACACATTAAATAGGTTGTGCATTCAGGAATAAACTGCAGTAACCTACTACATTTCACCAAAATGCAGAGGGACTCAGTAATAATTGCAAAATAGCAAATAACAAAGGACTGCTACCTGGGACACACTGAGATCTGCTGACTCCTTTCAGGGGGTTAATATTTTGCCCATGGCTCAATGAGATACCACTTCACATATGTGAAATCTGGGTACACTGCAATCCAAAAATAACATTGTACCTCACGTAGATGTGTAATCATAGAGAGTAGGACTGTGGCAGTCAAATCAAGGATGGCAAACAGCATCCAGCAAGTGGCCATGGCTCCCAGGGGCTGAAAATGCACATCCTGCAAAGACTCCCCACCTGCAGGTGTTTATCAAGGCCAAGCTCACAAAAAACAAGAGTAGTGTGAGTTACTGACATGTTTGGCCATCCAAAACTAGCTAGGTAGCTGGCTCAGTGTAATGGCAAAAATACTATACTGGGAATACTGTCTGACTGTCAACCACTCTGCCAGCTCTGCTGTTGCAAGGAGTATGGTAGTGGAAAACATAGGACAAAGAAAATCCCAAAGCCTGGAAAGCATGCAAAGCCATATAAGTAGTCTTAAACATGATATATTAGATTAAGAACTCAGCATTTCATTATTCTGCCTCTCTGTCTGTGCCATCCCTGCATCAGGCTATCATCCTTCAACTTCCTCTTTCCAAAAGATTTCAGAAGTCCCATCTATTAAAGCTGACAGGAAAGTTCAGTTTTGGTTCTATCATCTAGAGTCAAAATTGTACCACAAGTGACACCAGTAAGTGCATTTGTTGTTTGGGTTTGGCAAGCATATACGGATGTCATGTTCATACAGTGTTCACAAAAGCCAGATGAAAAGGGGGAGGTCAGAGGCCAATCCTTCACCTCCTCTTGCAGGCACCGGCTTAGACACCGAATGGTCACTGCCCATTATGGGTCAGTTGCCAGCTGAAAAACTAGGGAGGTGATGGCCTGATGAAAGGCTCTACAGATTTTCTTGTGAGAACGAAAACCTGGGGGAAAAAACGAGCTGTTTGGGTCAGTGAGCTTTCAGTATATGCAAAAGCCAGGCAAAATGTTTTGATTTTCAGATGCTTTAGAGAACAGTAATGGAAATCAAAACCACACCCACGAAGCAGGGACTAGAGGTCAGGTCCCACCTGGCAGGTGATCACACAGTTTAATTCAGAGTCAGCCTCTCTTCCTCATGCTCAACAAAAACGTAATCATTTTTAGTATTAATGCTTAAGCAGCCTCAGAGCTGCCATAAATTGCATCACCTAAGAATGACCATCTCCAAGGATCCCTGACTGTCAGGGATCGAGCCACACACCAGCCCCTTCTCCTAAATGGCTGCTTGTTTCAGGGGAGCAGAACAGCAGGGCCTGACACGCAGAGTTCATGCGATCCTGGTATTTCCCACTCCTGGACCAGCCCCTGTTCCTCACTGGACAGAGTGCTGTTGTCTAGGAACAAGGACAGCAGCTGAAGACTTCACTAAAAGCTTTATATGCCTCAAGCATTACAATAATTTAGCTTTCCTACAAGAGGTGGGAGGCACAGTGTAACTTTGCAAACACAGCAGCAAAGCAGAATAAAAATTCTCACACTTACAATTTCCATCTCCTCAATTTAATACCCATCGGTCTGAGTTTGGCTTAACAACACAGAACAGTTGAGGTTGGAAGGGATCTCTGGAGGTCATCTGGTCCAACCACTCTGCTCAAGCAGAGCCACCTAGACAAAGTCGCACAGGAGCACATCCAGACAACTTCTGAATATGTTCTAGGATGGAGACTCCACAACCTCCCTGAGCAACCTGTGCTCAGTCACCCCCCGCCTTCAGAGGGAGCCTCCAGTGTTTCATTTTGTGCCCATTGCATCTGGTCCTGTTACTGGGCACCACTGGAAAAAGCCTGGCTCCATCCTGTTTACACCCTCTGTTTAGGTATTTATATACATTAATAAGAACCTCTGTGAGGATTTTCTTCTCCAGGCTGAACAGCTCAGCTCTCTCAGCCTTTCCTCATAGGAGAGATTCCCCAGTTCCTCAGACATTTCTGTGGCTCCTGGATATATGGATATCACTGGCTACACACACACACACACCCTGGCACCATAGCTCTGTGTCTCTGTTGTACTGGGGAGCTGGAACTGGACATAGTACTCCAGGTGTGGCCTCACCAGTGCTGAGTAGAGGGGAAGGGTCACTTCCCTCAATCTGCTAGCAATACTTTGCCTAATGCAACCCAGGAAACCATTCGCATTCTTTGCAGCAAGGGCACATTTTTAGTTTATGTTCAACTTGGTGTCCTCCAGGACCCTCAGGTCCTTTTCTGCAAAGCCGCTTTACAGCTGGGTGGCCTCCAGCATATATAGATGTACTGGGGTTGTTCTTTCCCAGGGGGCAGAACTTTGCACTTCCCCTAGTTCAACTTCATGAGGTTCAAACAAAGCCCTTGGATAGGCCTGAACCTCACCTTCCCACACACTCACCTTCTATGTTACCAAGCAGCAAAACCCGGACTTTGTCAAGGAAAGCCCCTCTAGGTCTGCAGTTGGGCATAGTGTTAAAGTGGGGAACCACATACCTCATAGCTCCCTGTGGATGACAACAAGCTACTTTGTTGACCATGTTTCCAGTGCCAGAGGAGCTTCTTCTGCATTTTCACACTGTCTTGTTCTCTCTCCACCATTTTCTGGCCCTCCTGGAGCCTCTCCAGGCTCTGCTGGTACTCCTGCAGCTGCAGTGCCAGTCCCTCTCGGCTTCTCTCCAGCAGCTCCTCCTGGCAGCCGCACTCCCTTTCCCACTGCCCCAGCCGGCCCTTCCGCACCTCCTGCTCCCGCTGCCGCTGCTCGCATTCGCGCGGCCACCGCTGCTGCTCTTTTTTTTGCTGAAACTGCTGCTTGAGCTTGTGTATGTTGGCCAGCTCCACCTTTTGTTTTTCCAAATTCCGGCATTTTTCTTGTTCCAGAAGGAGGTTTAGCCAAGAACCGTGGCCCCGACTAGTTTTCTCATTCTCTTGCAGGAGCAACCTATGGAGCTCTCTGTGGCTGTCTTGGATAGCTAATGCTCCCTAGACACCACAACAAAATCAGACACAAAGGTTTAAATATTAGCATTAATCCGTTCTGTATTTTTACACAGAAGCATTATATAAAAAAATGCTTCAACCTCCTGTAATATCAGCGCTTAAGGCTTTTTAGGATGTTATTCCTCATGCAAGGAGAGAAAAATTCTGTGTTCATACCCTTACCAAGAAATGTCTGTAAAAGCATTCAAGCATTTTCAAGGTTTACACTTAGTATTATTATATACATTTATGTTACAGCTGTTCATATGGACTTCAGTTACAGCTGCAGCCCTGTTCTGTCAGAGGATGTTAAGACACATAGGGAAAATGATTTTTCATGGTTACAGAGGGCATTTAGGCACTGGGAATGCTACACTCAACAAGGTATTCCTAGTACAGATGTGGCTTTAACAGATGAAAATGTACTGTTTCCAGTACAGCTCACTCCAACCCTTTCTAACCTACAACAGCACAGTCTTACTAACATCAGTCTTACAGGCACCTGTCAACACAGCTATGTCATCAGGACCATACTGCTACATGCACCTGACCAAGATATCTGTGCCAGCAGAAATCGGCAGTATAGCAATGATGTCAGTTTTGATGTTTCAGTAGTTTATTTTACAACTGAGAGCGCTATATCCTATCCATCACAAGGATGTTGTGACATTGTTTGTGTTAAAGATTGTGACATCCTCCAATAACAAAAATAAATAGCTGGGATTAAGAAGAAAGAAAAGCAAGAAAGCCCTAGATCTGCTGAGGCACTTATTGCACAGCATATCTTCATGGGAATCTACTGCAGTAGACATTCCCAGAGAATTCCCACAGCCCCGTTACCCCATGCCTGTCCATCCCAGGAACAGTTTTTAACTTTATGCAATGTGCAATTCCCACTTTTCTTGGCTCTTCCCTGAGTATTGGGTCAGTTCCAGTGATTTGTAAACAGGGCAAGGACAGGATCCTCTGTCTGTTTCCTTGCACCTATACTGCCAGCTTATACAAATTTTCATGGTCTGTACAAAAAGGCATGGGCATAAGCCTTACTTTACCGGCTCTCTGGTGTTAAGCTGTTTTTCAATTTTTAAAAAGTTTTGTGTGAATTACAAGCTTTTTATTTTGCTTTTGCATTGCTTCAATTCACTTAACATCTAAGCCCAAGGTTTCCAGGATTATTATGAAGTATGCTAATGTCAAGAGCATCTAAAAATTAAACATTCTAACTGAAACTTTTTAAAATAAAACTATAAAACTGCACCTAAACAAGAAAAAAAAGTTAAAATATTCAAATTTAGCATGAAACAGGCAAAAACTTCAGACTAAGGCCCTACAGAACATACACAATAATGAATCATGATTGAAGTATCTAAAATGGGTTGATTTGCTACCTAAGTGCAGAGACAATATTTATTAGTAACCACAAGAATATTCTACACAAAATATTAAAACTGTTTCAATATTTTGAACGATAATTTCAGAAATCTGTACACAAAATGACATCAGTTCAGTTAGAACGACCATTTTACTTTTACCCTAGATTTTTGGACCATACACACATCGGTTTTTGAGGGGGAATTAATCTCCAAGCAAACATTATTCAGTTCTTAAAAGAAACATACCACTGATGTAGAATAAACATAAATTATATGACAACTTATGCAACAGCCAGTAAGATAAGAATCCACTGACATAAGTCCTAAATGGAGGGCAAGATGAAAACAAACCTTAAGACGTAAATTATTAAGACTAACTACTCTACAAAGTTAAGAGTGCAGTAGTCACCTGTATGCTGTACAAGAGACGGGTTAAGTTCTGGATTGCTTGTACAATCTAGAAAATAAAAGAGAGGTATTTTCAAAGCTTTGACCAATGTTAACTAAATAGTTACTGCATTCTGTCTAGGGTTTAAATAAACTCACCTCTGTCCCTGTAGATCCTGGGAAAATCATACTTCCTCCCTAAAATAAACACATGTTACTTAAAAAAGTAGGTTTTAACTTTAGAATTGTATTGTCTAGGTATTTAAAAAAAACAACCTAGTGGAAGCATTCACATTGCTAATATATGCAGTGCCGAGTCAAACTTTTTTGTGGGTATGTGAAAAAAACCAGAAGTAATAACCTATGAAGACTAATAATTCATCAACAGTGGAGTTTCCATGGAAATCACTAGAGAGTCTAAGCACAACTGTAAAAACAAAAATAGTTCATCCACAATTTTAGTTCTCTCGTGACTAATGCTACACAAAAAAGACATTTCCATTCATTCTTTGTTTACTTGACATTTTGGAATACAGTAACCAGACTTCTGTATATACAGCAAAGTGGGTTTAGATTACTTATAGTAGGATGAAACAGCACAAGACACTTCAAAAATAGCGGTATTAAAATAGCAAGAAGCTAGCAGAAGTCATGTTAGTGGGTTACAGCAAATGCCTCAGATACGCTGTGAGGCAGAGCAATGGCTCTGCAAAAAATGTACCAGCATGGTTACCACTGTACACTGCAGTGAGGCTCAGGCATTTCACACTTTCTGCCCTGCTCCCTCTTCCTAAGGAGCTTTCTAAATTTATGGGATGAAGCCACCCATAATCCCTTCAGCATGAAGAACTGCTCCTCTGAGAAAGATAAGGTGAAACAGTGGAGAAATAAAACACAATCCCTTCTGAGACTACATTGAAAAGACTTCCTGTATGATTTTTCTCATGTTTTTCTTAGAGCAGAGGAGGGTTAGGGAATATTTGCTCTCTCTCTGATTCTCCCAGGTTCTCTACTGAGTCTCATTTTCTACCACAGAGGGCAAAGCAGCTGCTCCATTTAACTGCGATAACTGAAAAAAAAGAAGATGAAAAAGGCCAGGTCCTGAAACACAGCTCAACACAGACAAGATGGGGGAAAGAGAGCACCGAATGCAGCATTTCCTTCACCCCTCTCTCTCTGTCATTGTCTCTCCTCTGTATTTCCCTCTATTCCCCCTCCACACCTTCACCACCTCCTCCACTTCCCACTGCACCCACGATCCACACAACTGCTCAGCTCTGCTGTCAGAAGCAGAAGACTGCTTCTCACTGCAGCACCCTACTTGAGCGCTGGGGTCAAGCCCAGGGCAGGTCAGTTGAGCTCCGCAGAGTGACAGCAGCGCTGCACCTGCACTACCACAGCTTCAGCACAAGCCCTGTAAGTCCAGCTAGGTCCAAGCAATATATTCAGCTGCTTAACCTGTGCTGCGGGACACTGCCACCTCCTTGCCACTCTTCCGTAGCACCCTGATTCAGAGTGATGAGCACCAGTGGAGACCTGGATTGCAGGGCAGGCTGTGTGCACAGTGACAACTCCCCGGAGATGTGATTACAAGGCAGGAACAAGGTGGATGAGATGGGCAACACTTCCCACTTCTGCCCGCTTGGGGCCCCACATGCTGCACAGGCTACAGTCTTCCTTCTGATGCTTGGTCAGCATCTAACCCCTAGGCTGGGGGCTTTCATCTTGCATTCCAGCTTTCCAGCTCTTGGTGTCCCAGGCTAGCTGGTCTGAGCCCAGTGCTGCCACTCCACAACGCCAGGACTGCACACTCGGCGTCCAAAGGCAGGCAGAACATCCTCCACCCTTGACAACCCTTGCCTTGCCTGTTTTGTTTGCTCGTTCTGCCACCTCCTGGCAAGTCTGATTGTGACACAGTAAGATGTGATACAAGTCTTGACCAAATAACAGGCCAGGGCGGAATAATAACTTAGGGTAGAAGAGTTTGCTGCAGATCCTTCTAGTCCAGCTGCAACTCAAAGCAGGACTAGCTTCAAAGTCGAATGAGGTAGCTCAGGACCTCCTCTAGTGAAATCCAGGAAACCCTCAACCTCTCTGGACAGCCTGTTCCTGCTTCATCACCCTCAAGGTGCCTTTTTTTTCCTTATGTACAGTCAGAATTTTCCCTGGTGCGACCTGTAATCTTGGATGCTTATCCTTTTGCTGTGTACCTCTGAGAAAAGCCTGCCTCTTTCTTCTCAATAACCCAAATGGCAATGTTTTAATGTGGAGCTACTGGAACTTTTATTCGGGTAGACCTGAACCCCTCTATTCTATATTAGGTTATTTTATTTCCCCTCACCTAGCTTCTCTGCTTCCTCACTCAGACTTCTGTTTTCATCCTTTTTTTTTTCCACACACACTCTTCTTCCTATTTCCATCTAACATAGCAGTCTGGTAAGTAAAATGACCTAGAACTGTGCATGAGGCAATGTTATAGGGAGATTAGTGTATTAGCAAGAGTCTGCCAGAAATAGCTAGGAAGAAAACACCCCAAGGTTTCAGACACAAGCCCTCTTTCAGATGTGATGCAAAGACAGTATGCTAATGCTAAGTATCTCCTTTTCTAGCAAACTTTGCTTTCCATTTCAAGTCATGTATCTTCTGTTCTTGTCTCTCCCCTTTATTCCTTTTGCGGTCCTGCTTCTCCACCTAAGGACTCCACACTTACAGGTCAGTTTATTTCCACACAGTAAGTCATATTGCTCTTACTCTAACATGCTTTGCTGCTACCTGAAATTCATCATTCTAAATTCTGCCCAGAACTGACTTTTGATTCTGCTTTTTCCCCGCATGTGCTTATAGCCTACAGGACTTTGAAAAATTAGCAGTTTCTCTTCTATTCTCTAATTGTGCCATATAAAAAGAAAAAAATAAATTCTGAAGCAAGCTGGTGTAAGACAATCCATCTTATTTTATGTGCTTGTTCTCAAGACGAAGATCTTCCAATGCATAAGTCTTCATTGCATTAGCTGAGGTCTCTGTCATTGCAGGAGACTTTCATCATCCTGTGAACAGGAGGAGGGAGTAGAGGGAATACTATTGTCAGCTCCACAGAGATGGATGTATTGAATGATGACAGCAGACAACCAGGCTCTTAAGAGGCCCATGCAAGTGGTACAAAAGCATGGTGGCTGCTATTACAATCCACCGATCTGTAAACGTGGCAGGAAAATTGCTTTGTGCTTGGATTGTTTATGATTGCTTTTTAAAAATTCACTATTAATTGCAGTGACCTCTGTTAAATGGAATTATCTGGACTTGGATGAAATGAGTCTAAGCCATGCTTTGTGTTTTGGAACAGCCTTTAGATACTCCATAAAAATTCAGACAGCAGTTACATTCCCAGTATACAAAGTGCTACGTGCAACACAGGAAGAAAAATCAGTTACAATACCTTATCCTCTAGACTGGCACCTGCCATTTCCTTTTCAGCACTGAGATTGACTTCAGATGATTCTTCAAGTTCTTTTATTTCTGCATCTAACAAATAAAGGCCCAATAAAATGTAACAGAAAGATATCAAAGTATATTCTGACTATAGTAACAAAGTGCACACTTTTTCACATCTACTCACAGAATATTGAAAATAAGAGGTAATTCAGAGCTCCATAATGGGTTCTAGGCTGGAGAAAAGCAAATTTGGAAGCCAGGAGATGGCATAGGTGGGGCAATGCAGTTTTCCTACCTTAAAAATTAGTAGTGTTTCACTTGTGAAAGTTTGGAGATAAGTAGAGCCATATCACTACAAATGCTCTGCAGCAATGTTTTTTACAGAACTTTATTTGCATTTTTCTTGCAAGAAATCGTGCTATACCTTTTATAGCTGAAATTATGGGAATGTCAATCCTGGTTTTCAGGCCTTTTGACAAAAATGAGCTGACTTGGAAAGTGGCCTACTGCAATACAGATTTGCTGCCAAGCTGAGCAACAATGATGAGAAAGTGTATGGAGTAGCCAAACCCAAACCTGACTCAGTAATGCTGAATGCAGCCATATGCTATGGAAAAGCTGCAATGGATGCCAACCATCCATTTACTTCAATGAAATTATACGACAATTTACACTATGTAAGTATTTGCCCAAAGACAACTTTTATTATGTTATTTTCTACTGATTCTGCCATAGACTGAGAAAGCTTTTTTTAAAAAATCCTATATCAATTATTTTAGCACTGTATATGCAAAAGCATGAAATTTTACTCACCATCAACAACAGATTCCAAAATTTCATTGGCAGTAAATGTGTTCTTTACACTTAATTCCTCAATATTTTCCTCTGGTGATCTGTCTATTTCACTCACTTGTGACATCATTACAGCAACATGGAGACTTTCAACTAGAGAGAAAAACATACAGAATTGCAGAGACCCCTTAAATAGCTCCTTAATATATAAATAAGTGCCATAGAATCATAGAATAATTTAGGTTAGAAGGGACTTTCAGAGGTCATCTAGTCCAAAATCCTATTCAAAGATGGTTCAAATAAATTGAGTCATTCAGAGCTCCGTACAGACAAACTTCAAACATCTTCAAGAACAGAGACTTCACAGCCCCTCTGGGGAACCTGTTCTGAATTTTGTCCACCCTTGCAGTAGATAATTTTCCCTTACATTTAACTGGAATTGCCTGTGTTCCAGCTTATGCCTGTTGTCTCTTGTCCTATCACCATGTGCCTCCACAAAAAAATCTGGCATCTCTGTATCCTCTTCTAGGCAGCTAAGGACAGCAATGAGATCCCACCAAGCTGCCTTCTCTCAAGGCTGAACAGTCCATCTATCTCAGCCCATCTTCAGATGTTACATGCTCCAGTCATCTTGGTAACATTCACTGGATTTGTTCCGGTTTGTCAGTGTCTCTGTCGTCCTGGGGAGCCCAGCACTAAACACGGCACTTCAGATAGGTCTCACCAGGAACGAGTAGGGGAAGAATCACATCCTTCAACCTGCTGGCAACTCTTCTCCTAATGCAGCAGTCTAGGAGGCAGCTGGCCGCCTCTGCCACAAGGGTGCATTGCTGGCTTGTAGTCAATGCGCTCTGGAGTAGGACTTCCACATCCACTTCTGCAAAGCTATTTTCTATCCAGTCAGTAGCTAGCTTGTACCAACACATGGCATTACTCCATCCCACATGCAGGACTTCGCACTTGTCTTTGTCAAACTTTTAGCTGACTTTCTCTTAGCTGACTTTCCTGGTCATGTCTCCAGTATGTTGAACACATGACATCCTCATTTAGTGTCAGCCATGAATTCATTAAGAGTATATTCAATCCCTTGGTTACCTTCATTAATAAATATGTTGAACAGTATTGGTCTCAGTATCCATCCCTAAGGGAATCCTCTAATAAGACATTGCCACCTGGACATTGTACCATTGATCACAATCCTCTCAGCCCAGCAGTCCTGCCAATTTTTCACCCAGTTATGCAGCCTGCATCTCACCAATTCAGCTGTAAGGATACTACAGCCAGTGCAGACACTGTTGAAGGCCTTTCAGGTGTGAAGGTAAACATTTTCTTCTCTCCAACTCTTCTGTCATCATAAAAGCTGTCAGGTTGGTCAGATACAATTTGTTCTTGATGAGTCCATGCTGGCTGTCCCAAATCACCTTCTTGTCCTTCATGTGCTTGGAAATGGCTTCCAAGAGGATATGCTCTATCACCATCCCAGAGATGGAGGTGAGGTTGACTATTTTGTAGTTTCCTGTATATTCCTTCTTGAAGAGGAATGTGATGCTTGCCTTCTTTAAGTCATCAGGAACCTCTCCTGATCACTATGACCTTTTGAAGATGACAGAAAGCAGCCTCACAATGACATTGGCCAGCTCCCTGAGCAGCCTTGGATTTATCCTGTCTCATCCCACAGATTTGTTTATATTCACTTTGCTTAAGCACCCCCTAATTCTATCCTTCTCTACTGTGAGCCATGCTTTATTCCTATAGAGTCTGCTACTAGCTCAGAGACTTAGTATTTCAGTTCTGGAAAATGATTCCCACAAACTGCTGACAGTGTAAGCAATTGTAAATTCCTTACAGTGTGCTGAGCAGTTATGAAAGCCATGACATAATCAACAGCAACATTAGCATGACAGAAAGTGAAAATTAAAAGTGGGCTGAAGAAAGTGTGTAAGTGTAGGCTCCCATGTTAGCTAAAATGACATCTACTATTGCTTCACTGACTTATATTCCCTACCCAAATTTTATCAACAAAATGCCCTCTGGCTTCATAATGATGAAGTCAACCTTTGCTGCTTTATCAGTTCAAATGTAGTTATTAGCCCACACTCTCAATCTAGGTGATGGGATGTTTTTGATCTTGTAGTCCTTGTCAAAGAGCACAGAGCTCATGCTGAATATGACTCAGTTTACCAGGATTCTTTTCAGCTGAGTTTAGCAGGAGTTTAGCTAAATTTTCAACTAGGTGAGGTAGCCACAAATAACATTCCCTTCCTTCCTTCAGAGGACAGCACTGTAGGCAGCACAAGGCTCTAATGTGTCTGTTAGATAGCATGTAGGAAAAAAACCCCATGACTCCAACAGCAATTCTGACAGGTGTTTCTTGGCAGATCTCCCAAGATCATCTGCAATTTGGTCTGTATATGACCCTACATGATTCCAACCTGTCATCAAAGCAACCAAGTGAAGGTCAGGGACCAGGTTCAATATCGTACTGCATTCTGTGATCTACTTCAGAAGGCTGTGATGCCAGGAGGACAGCTAAGTGAACAATCCTCAGATACAACCTAACACCATGTCCCTGCCTGCTTACATATGGTGTCACACACTAAACATATCCCTTATCTTACAATCAGGCAGGTACCATCTCATGTATCTGACAAGTATAAACTTGAGAGACTTCTCTTCAATGCCTTTATGTCCTTTGCCAAGATTTTACACTGACAGTTCTTGAGACTTAACAGGATTGCAGCATAAGGGAACATGTCTGTCAACTTCAAATATCTGCCCATGTGAAGAGCCACCAGTCCACTTTTTCCATGCAAACTCACCTTCTCTGAGTGCTGCTGCCAGCAATGAAGCAGCCTGTGGAGTTTCTCCAGAGTCAGGTTTGATAAGGAGGTGAGGTTCTACATTGACATCCTCAAACCCACTTATATCTCCCAGTTCTGCATAGATATGCAACTTCTCTTCCAAACAACTACAGATCTGTTGGTCCTGGTTACTCAGTAATTCTGTCAACCAAAATTTAACACTATATTAATAATTTTTATATTGCGGGCAAAGCACATTTCCCATTTACCCTTCTAATTCTCACACCACATAGACTTTGCTAACTTGAGCTAGGGAACAGAGTTGTTCTATGCCTTTTTTATGTAGCCAGAAACCAAATTTATCAGATTATCCTGATGAAAGCTGGCACAGACCGTGGCAGATGCAGCAGCTCTGGCTACGCTCTGGGGCCATCAGCTTCCTCCTGTTCCACTCACAATGAGCAATGCTGGAAAAACAGTTGGCTCAGGCAGCCGGAACACACATTGATTGAGCGTCTCAATGTCAAAGAGGAACACCTACTCTCAGCGGAGGATGCCCTTCCCTGTGGCTTTCTCCAAGAAGGACATTCCTGGAAATTCTCTCCTTGCAGCAGTCTAAAGATGTGGAAGTTATGTGTAGGGGAACAAAGGAAGCAAAATTTATCCCTATTAGCTACATTTTCAGATAAAAATAGTAGCAGCTAAGGAAGAAAAGCCATAAACAAGCACAAAACTACAGAATTAATGAAAATTTGAAGTATTTCCACTAACTGGGAACTATCTGACCCTGATGCTAATCAGGGAAATTCAGTGTTTACTCTGAAAGCATCCATTTGTCCTTTTCATTTGTACTCATGGTAATGTAGCAAAAATATAATGTGATTCGAAAAAATTGTTTTATTTCAGGAAAACCACATGAAACAATCACACCTCCCTAGCTCTCTCTGCTGTGACTGCCTGTCAAGCCACTCTGAACCCACTAGCCAGAATGGGCACATCTTTCATTCACCCTGAACTCTCACAATGTAGGAGCTCTCAGAGTAGCAGGAAGGTACTGCACCTTGACATTTCTGAATTCTGGATGCTTTGGCCTCAGCAATACGTCTGTCCTCATCAGATTCACTCATTTTTCCTTCTTCTTCTTCCTCTGGACAACTTCAAAGATGAAAGACAAACAAAGGTGGATAAAGCAAAATCTGCAAGTCACATATTCATCTTCAGCACAGTATTGCATTCATAATAAACAGTACACAACATCAACACCAACTTTTGCTACAATCCAGAAGCATGCCATTTGTCTGCTTCTTTAAAAAGTAGTAACTGGACAAAACCAGACTGAACGACTCCTATTAATTCTGCTAAGACTGCATTGTGCAGCAAATGGGTAACTGGTCCTCACACAGGTTTGCAGTGCTAAGCATAACTTGGGATCCACAAGAAGCAATGCTTTCCCTGCCATTCTTAAGGAGCTGACACCAAGATAACAGCCATGATTCTACGATTTTCCCAAAACGGGTGAATGGACACCTGCAGGACTCTGGAAAGAATCCAGTGCCAAAGGCAAAGGTGAGGTAAGCAAACAGTGTTTGGTAAGGACATCTAATGGGGAGCAGAAAGGGTCAACTGATTCAGTGAGAAACCAGAAGTAACATGGGAAGTTTTGCAGAAGCAATGGTGATGTTTTGGAGTCTGTGAATCCTGCGTTCAGAATAAAACCCAACCTCACAGGATGAATCCAGTGCAACACAGAACAGAGAGCACACTGCCATGAATATCTAACCAACCTCCCATCTGCTTTGGACTACAGGATGAAAACCAAAACCCTGTTCCTCTACCTTTCCACAGCATCTTGAATATGCCTCATCCAGTTGTTACGCTCCTCTTTGGAGTTAGTATGAACCTCATACATCTCAGGCCCTGCAGATGAAGCACTAATCAAAAATATCCCCCTTTCTTCGTTGGCTACTTCTCTTACTATGAGTCTCTGAAGGGAGATAACAGAAGGCTTCTGGTCCTGGAGGAAACAGTCATAGCACACGCAAATAATAAATTACTGTCTTATAAAACACAACATTTTTAGAAAAGCATGATTTTTCCAATAAATGGACTAATTCTAGTTCTGGTATAGTCAGACTATGAATGTTCTCACCAGGTGTAAAAGGCTGCAAGTTTTAAGTATTGAGACATCTTTTTAAACTATTTTTAAAAACACACTATAGTATTTATGAACAAGTAAAGCACTGAATATGTGCTAAAAAGTCAGTCCCAGAGGCTTAATAATACTGAGGCACAGTATTCATGTCTCTCCATGACCTTTCATACATTTTATGTGTGTTTACTACTACATTTGCAGTTAAATTCTTCTTCTGTTTTGTTCTACAGAACCAGAAGTTAAAATTTATTTCCGATAACTGAAAGGGCTTGCTCTACTTCCCATCTTCATAATCAGATAGGCATGACACTAAAAAAATTATTGTGTTAGTTTCATTCTTCTTCCTAAAAAAATTATTTCATTTTGAAAATAAACTTAATTTTCCACATACTGGCATATTACTGTTCTGAATAATCTACCAGGATTTAAAACAAACACACAAAAAACCCCACCTCCACAACATTATGTGGGAATAACATATAAAAGGACCCTAACTTTCCAGAAATGCACAAATAAAAGCACGATGTGTATATTCAAACATCTGATAATATACTTACAACAGCTGCAAAGATGTATTTTTGATCTTTCTCATGTAAGAACAGTAGTACATCAGTTAGAAGCAGAGCTAAGGTGTCTTAAAATTAGAAGAGGAAAATAATGTTTTTTAATTAAAGTTATTACAATTATAGTTAATTTCTTCTTTTATCTTTAAAAAGGGAGAAGCCCTGATCAATAAATATCCTCCAGAATCCTACAGTAAACTAAACAGGAAATAACTGGACTAGCCTATGGTCTACATAAAGCAACTGCATGCTGTCACTTTTCATCTCGCAGGTAAGACCACGCTTTCTGCTATCTACGCTCCTGTAGTGCCGTGCTGAAGCCCAATGAAAGAAGAAACCCTCACTCCAATGTCACCACAACTTCCACAAGCCACTCACAGGCAACCGGGCAAAGACTACCTCACATAAATTCTGGTTTACCTATGCTGTAATATATAAAGTATATATGTGTATATACTCACAACACAATGTAATACTAATAAAAGTATTTCTGGAATAACAATGAACAGTTGGCTTTATAAAGCTGTACAGCAAATATTACTAATCTCAAAAAACCCCCAACCCCTACATGTGATTAACAGCAAAAATCAAATTCTAGGCTTGCATGTGAAAATTTGGCTCCTGCCAAATGTGGCTGCAGATTTTCTTTTCCACTCCAGATGTCCCAGTACCACTGAAGAACAGCATGTGATTTTGCATGCATTATTTCTAATGGCCTGTGCTGTGAACAATCTGAATGCTTAAGTCAAGAATCTATGTTATGGAACGAATCTGCAAGCTGTAGGAAATGAAAGGAGGGACTGAAAGAAGAAATGCAGCTCATAGCTTTGTATGTGACCCTGCCTTCTTACCCAGATATACAGTGGATTACCCACAAACCATGGCAGCTTCTGGAACTACTCTTCTAGCAATTAGTGGCATATTCTCAACACTATTACCTCAGAAATCTGTGTTTGTAATACACTGTAATAAAGTATATTCATACTTAAACCAAACAATCCTCATATGTTATTTGCAAATAAAGAGTCGGGGAACTTTACTGGAATACCTTTGAAACGACCAGTGGCTGTCTTCCAGTACACTAAACCTTCATGAAGAAGTATCCTCTCTTTCTTCATCAAGTCTTGCTTCCTAAAAACATTGCCATTTTTCAGCTTTGTATATGTTTTGTTTTCAGTTCTATTGAGGACTTCCAAAAGCTTTTGCTTTTTCTCATATTCATTCACTTTCAAATCTACTGCTGCAATCATGTCCTTAATTAGATAAAGGGCTTTGCAGAGGTCTTTATGTTCATCTGTTCCTTCTGTATGAAACAAAAAGTAAACAACATTATAGTAGTCACCATATTCAAGAGAAGATATCACTCTTTACTTTCTGGGAACAATGAACATGATGCAAAGCTTAAATCAATAAATACGTCATTTTGAGTTGAACCTGGCAATCAATTTACTGGAAATGTTAGAGGCATCTACCTTTGTCTGACTTGCCTATTCAAAGATGACATGTACCTCAGATTTATTCATTAGTCAAAACAACATGTTGAATAGTTTCTGACATATTTATGAGCTGTTAGCATTTTTAACATTTTACTGGCTAAGTAAATCTCATAGTATATTACTCTCCTGGCTAATTTAAAAACCCCTTGAAACAGGATTGTGTGTACAAAAGGTTTGCATTTGGAGATGCAGTTTTCTACAATGTTCATTTATTGCCCATCTGGGGACCAAATCTGTAAGTTATTAGTGTTTCTAAAATGCTCCAGAAAATTCCAGAGGTCATTCAAGCTTTTTTTGAAAAACTGGGGAATAATTTACAAAACATTTGCCTAGTCCTACTTACAAGAGACTCCACTGGAATTAATTTTAAAGAAGGTGCAGATGCATGCCTTCATTAGTTCACGTCCTTTAGTCAAGATCTTTTGCTAAAACGAGTATACTTTTCTGGTCTTCTATGGCTTACTTAGCTGGAATACTATAAATTTTCACAGCCTGGCATTCACAAAGACTACATACACAGTCACACTGTTTAGGTGACATTTGTCTGAACAGTAGATATTTACGTTGCTTTGGTTCTCTACAGAGCAGTGAATTTCACCTTTCGTTATACTGTAGCAGTGCCTATTCCTTACATCAGAAACACTAGAATTCCAGACATGAAGCAACACCTTAGCTTTTATTCACCTTTCGAGTATTGCAATATCCTTTCAACCAGAACAGGGTATTTGGTGATTCGCTGGGTGACGAGCAGAATGCACTCAGGGATTCCTCGGCGTCGTGCCAACAGGTTACTATTTCTCAGCTGCACAGACACAAATATATACCTTAAGTAGTAAATGCTTATTAAACCACCAATTGACTAAGAAGAAATATTATCTAAATTCATTAGAATAAGCTAAAACAAAATGCTTGGTTATCTGAACCATCCCCAAGGAACAGTTGTTACCCTGAGTGATGAGGTATACTGTAACAGGAACATGTATGTAATACAAACTGGATGCCAAAGCTTTCTTAAATTTGAAGGAAAAATGTAATTTATCAGCTTACTGGTTAAGGGGGAAAAACTTTGCCATTTTTATAAGCTATTAAAAGTGAGTTACTGAATATCATTTCAATCCTAAATCTAAATAAATGCTATGTCTCTTTTGCCTGAGCATTTTATCAATAGTATCATATTTCCATGGAAACTTACTTTAATAAAATTGTGGAACTTCTTGTTTTGCTGCAATTCTTTGAAGAGATTAACTGCTTCTTTTTGATGGCTGCAAAACTTTCCATATATTTCCTTCATTTTTGTTGCATTTTGCTCTGAAAACTGAAGAAATTAATAAGTGAATTGTGCTCAACATTGCACCTAGTATATAAGTGTATACCTTTAACTAATATATTTTGTACAAATACAGAACTTTAAACTTTTCTCCTACATGTTTCTCAAGTTCTCTGATTTTCAATAACAGAGCCTGTCACTACAGAATAAAAACAGGCTAGCAATTTTTAGGAGTAAGAGGAACATACTGTACACAGAGTACAAGTGACCTTCACTAACAGTCTTTCCAATAGCAGTTACAACAATTATCATGACAGCATTTCCTTCACCTTTTTGCATGCACAATCTTGTTGAGGCTTACTTGTATTCATTTGATCTCCACACAACTTCTAGCCAAGACAGTAGTTCAGATGCTTAATTTCAGTGGATTGAAAACTAACTGACCAAAGGTGAAAAGCCACACACTCCTGATTGCAAGGAGCTGAATGGAAGTTCATCCCAGTTTCATCACAGTTACTTGTCAGTAATTATTTTCTCTCATAGCTGTTTCACCCTGCAATACTCTGGAGGGGATGAAGCAACCGTAGCCCTTTTCCTGCCCATAAAAGTTTTAAATCAATAAATTGCTTAATTTGGGAATCTTAGGTGCACAAAGAATTAACAGAGCTGGTGTCTCTACCTGCTGCACCAGGATGTCTCCAACTCTGCTGATTATAAAATTACGTTCACTCCCTGCCTCACATGATTCCTGCCATCTCTCCTTCATTCTGCAGAAGAACTGCCTGTGGATCTCCAGGAGCTCATCTAGACAGGGGAATATTCTGTCCACTGTGGTGTGGTCCAGCTGCAGTTCTTCCTTCATCCCTTTCCTGAATATTTCAGACATAATGAACAGAGTATGGATGTGATGCACTTCTGTTTGCATCAGCTCTGCAATAGAAAACAGTATAGTATAGTAATCACCTTCAAAGATAAGACTTTAGGAACATTCAGATACAGAGTCGTAATTATTTTTAAAGTGTGAGCCTCAAATCTAACAGATTATGTCAGTAGGAAAACATCGTTTGTCTGGCTCTGGCCCAGTTCTCTCAACTGTGCCCCACAGAACAAGCTGGAGTAGGAACTGCTTGAGCTGGGGATTGGATGAATTTACTTCCAACCTCAATCATTCTGAGAACAATGTAGACATGTCTTTGGTAGTCAACACTCTCCACTTCCTTAGCTCTAGGACACATTGTAATTTGTGACAACAGTATTTTTTAAACATTCTTATTCATTCTGAGTTGAAGCATTCATTCTTCTGGACGTAAAACATGTAGGCTCCCTCTCTGTCTTCTAAGCCACATTGCTATTAAAGCTACACAAAGCTTTGAAATACTGACCGAAAATTACATCCTGCCTCTTGACAACATCCTTTTCTTGCTTGCTACAGAACATTGGATCCACAACAAGACTCCAGGACTCTGCCTCAAACTTCTGTGCATCTGTGTGGAGATCAGTCCACTGAGACAAATCCACATTATCTACGATAAAATGTGTATCTCATTAACACCAAGCATATGAACAGTAAGGGAAGTTCCTTTGCACATGCAGATCTATTCATAAAGCAAGAGGAACACATCACAGGGATCAACTTTAGACAAGCCTTCTGCAAACACTGGCAGTGGCTTTACAACAGAGAAACTTGCCAGATGTCAATATAATTACCAAAGTGTTGAAATGCATACATGACAGCAGGGGAGGGAAAAGAAAAAAAAAACACCCTTTGTTTCTCCGATTAAATAGATTTATACTTCTTTGCTTGAATGAAATTTTTAAAATTTAAAAATAACATCAAACATTGTCAAAAACAGCTTTGGTATTGGAGGGGCACTGGTCATTTTGCAAATGTCCAGTGAGACATATCTGCACCATCCTTTGTGAGTGAATGCCCTTCGGCTTTGAAATTCAGACTCACATCTAATTACAGAAAGAGCTTATTTCTATTCAATTCACAGGAGTATGTAGCCTTTTTAGGAGGGCAGTTCACCAGCAGAAAATAAGATTTTGGGGCTACTGAGGAAATACAAGTGATGTAGGTTTATGTTTTGCAATGCACACCATCAATGGAGATAATTAGATGAGCACAGAAGAAAAATATATTACTGTTCTGGTTCTGCAAGAATGCCAAATACATTTATCCCTGTTATTTTAAAATGGTAATACCATAGGAAAAAAGATTCTAAAAGTTATCAAAGAATTAGTTAAAGGAAGAAAGGAAAAGTTGTATTTTAAGACAAACATGTCTGATTGTATCATTTTAATGAAGGACATAATAGTAATTATCAAAAATAGATGCTATTTTAGCAGATGAAATGGTTTCCTATATCAACTAAGGAGTTATTCTATTTTGCACTTTCCCATACAGGTTATAAAACGCAGTATCTGTGCCATACTTCTTACCTTCCATCACAAAAGGATCCATTGAAGAAAAGGTCCTTAATGCTTGTAACATCTCTTCAGACCGTGACTTGGAAGTCCAGGTGCTAGTCTCAGAGTCTTGTTCAGAAAATGGCATAGAACTTTTACAGCTGAAAAAAACCACACACATTTATTTAATGGTTTCGGTTTTCATAGAAATGTTGAATTATGTATTTAGCATATTCCTCCAGCTGCTGCCCTCTACCTTTCGAAACTGGCACTGAGGACACTTCTGGACAAGAAGTGGGACTGCTGTAAGGTCTGTCTCCTTCCAGCAGACAGTCCAACAGGCACAGAGCAAGACGGATGTACTGGGGAGTGCACCATCTGTGTAATGTCTCCAGGCAGGGAATCTGTGAGGCAAAGCACAAACAATGTAGAGTAAGTCATCAACAGCACAGTTATACTGTGAAATGCTATTTGGTATCTGGTGTTCATACAGAGGTGTTCATATACCTATAATGGGTATCAAGAATGTCTGCTTAGCATGGTACAAGACCATGATGGTCTTCCACAGAATATAAAGATAAGCCTGTAGACAAGGTGGAATAGCTCCAGCATGGAGCGTATTGAGAAGAAAAAAATCTCAAATCACACATGCTCTAATATTGCATCCTGAGCATGGGAGACTCAAATATTTGTGCATACAGTAAATGACATACTCAAAAGCACAAGACAGAATGGACTACTTTTGATTTTCATTCTCACTGACAACAAAACTCCCACTCACCTTAGTAGGAGTTAATTCGACAGCAGTTTCTTAAGAAATCCTACTCATATTAAAGACACACACACTTTCTTACAGATACTGAAATTAGAAATACAAAACATACAAGTGATGTAATAGGGTTTGTGTTGTCAGTCCCGTGATAATTGAGGCTTAGAAGTACTAACTTTACACCTCCAAACTTACTTGTTACACCAGCTTGGGGTTTATTTTTATTGTATCTCTCCTGGGATTTCTGAAAAAGGAAGAATTTTATGAAACTGCAATGAAATCATAGCTAACAACACACTGAATAATAAAATCGGTAACTCACTGCCATAATCACACAAAAGGGCTTCTAAGAAAATGGTCCTAAATTATAGGTCTATTTTCTACCAATAATCAATAAATCCAAGTTTATTAGTAACTGGTAGATAATAATATGCAAAGTAGAATTATATTATTTGTACTACAATACCAAACTGAATCTGGTTATTCTAAACCAAGGCACTGATTTACAGCATTCTACTTTCTCTATACAACTATTGCCTGTGAAGGCTCCAAGGAAAGGAGTTGATATTTAGCACTTGGCTGTATTTCACTTGAGGTGGGTCAGTGAACATTTATTCTTGTTAAGATGAATCAGGGTGGCAGGGGCTCTTGTCACCTCTTGACAAACAACCTACCAGCCCCAGCAATTAAAACTGCCACAGTTCAGCTATTCTAATGCCCTAAAGTTGCTCAGAAAATTGTGAAAGGGTATGATGTGACAGTTACAACCAAAATAAATAAAACCATCTGATTCAAGTCCAGGCTAAGGTACTTACATCAAAAATTCTGTATGGAAACATGTTCTCCCTGCAAGCCATCATGATGCAAAACGTAGCTACACCAGAAAGACACTCTCCATTATTTTGAAAAATGACCTGTGGCACACTTCCCTCCAAGTCCCATTTCATTCCATGAGGGTAGAAGCCTTACACATCTTTTTTTGAAAGCAACACCTTTGTCATTATAACCTCACCGTGCCTATATTCCTACTTAAAGGGAGGCAGTACCTGGCAGCTCCAGTGCTGATTTTGGCCTATCTGCAGTGGCAGCTGAACACTGGGAGCAATTCTCTATGGAAGCTGTGGAGTCTCCTCCTCCAGAGATTTTCCAGAACAGGTCAGACAAACATCTGCCCAAATTGTTACCTAGCAGTGAGCCTGCCTGAGGGTGAGCAGGTAGACTAGGTTGCGTCCCAAAGTCTCTTCCATCTCTGCTTTCCATTATTCCAAACATATGGGACACCACTTCTATACAGGGGGCTATCTGTGGTTGTGAGGAGCCTTTCCTTTTAAGCCCTTTGTTGATCCCTTCTGGCACACCATTTCACAATTTGAACTTGCAGCTCTTCAAAAATAAAAATACCTCTTTAAACTGATTTTTGACTCTCTTGCAAAAATTGCTGTTCAGGCACAGTGCTTGCTCTGTCCTTTGCAGACACTAGGCCTGGGCAGGCTGTGTGTACTTTCTTTTTTCCTTCATGATGTTTCCAGGCCCCTTGGAAAGAAGACATGCTATAGTGAGAAAGGCGCGGTATAGGACATTACCTTGGTACACACAGGAGCAGACTCCTTGCAGCTCTTATGCACAATCACGTTGCAATCTGAAAGAGAAGGCACATTTCAAAGCCTGGCATTGAACAGGGTCCCCAAAATGTTACTCTTGAGCTTCACCTTTTTCCTTTTCAGGTCCACTAACTAAAGTAGCCCTAAGGATGCTTTGCTGTCACACCTTCTGGGTAAGAAGGAGGTTATCCTAATGTGCTGAGGATAGGAGATGGCCATGGTCCCTTCTGAAGCTGTCACCTGCCATCCTTCCTACCTCTCCCTTGTCAACTTCAGCCTGTTACATAAAGAGGGTACATCAAAAATTAGGCAAGGTTTCTTTTTGAAACAAAACACTGAACCAGGATCTTGAAGCAGGACGGAGCACTATAAGTTAATGCACGAAAGCCATCAACTACTTACATGAGCACTGCAGTGACTCCTTCCCTAGGAGGGCCTTTTCACAGACCATACATGGGATAACTCCTGAGAAGGTGCCATTTGTAAAATTGTGCCTGTTCAGTTTCTCTTTATCTTTGGTATCTTTGTTTTTTGTCTTCATCCCCATCCGCAAAGGCAGGAAAAAAGAAAAAGAAAAAAAAAATGGAGACGTTACAAAAGAAGATAAACCGATTTGATCTTTAAAACACCAAAACAGTCCTTTTTAAGAACATACTATTCTAAAACATTTATTCCCTGTCCTGGACAACTTGTCACAGTATACTATATTATTGCATTCAACATTGCTGAAGTTCTAAAATGATACAGGCATTGCTTTCACTGGCAGCTAAGCCAGCAAGCATTATCAGGGAAGACTGACAGAAAAACATTTCTAAAGCTGCAAAAAAGGAAGGGCCAGAAAATAAAATTTAAGTAGTGTTATTGACTGGACACATTAACATCAATGCCTACATCTCCCTGAAGCACACATGCAAACTCATACCTCTGCAGTTAAAGCTGCAGTTAAGTAAATTTAGACAACTTGTCTTTACATCTTAGAAGACATGAAAAAGAACCTATGTTTTTAATAGTGTTAATGCATTTAATAGATTCTGCCTATTTTTACAGTACTTCTGATGGTGTGGGTATACATTTCTTTGAGCAGCCCTCGTAGTTATTCTTTAGGAGACCACATAGACACAGGCTAACGTATGGCTGGGGGACCAGACATACATGTTTACAGCCAGGTGGACCAGACATACATGTTCACAGCCAGTTCTGCCACTCTTGAAGGTATTGCCTCAGCCAAGCATCTTCACATTTGTGTACCTTAGGATATCCTGGGGCATGGGAAGGCATACTAGAAAGCCTGCAAAACTGCTGAAAAGCCATCTGAAAAGATCCTGTAGGCCAAATCCATCTCTCAAGCTGCTAATTGATGCTGTTAATCTAAATTTTAAATGTCTTAAAAATAAACCACAAATGTTCTAACTTACCTTCCATAGTATGGATATTTGACTATGCAGGCCTTGAATCTGCAACTCTCTAACACTAAGCATTGCTTACTCATGCAAGAAGTCCCATTAACTTCAAATAAGGCAAATTCAACTAACTATGTGCCAACGTAGAAGTTACAGGCTCAATTACTTATTTAAAGTAATTGCAGCAAAAGAACCTCTTAATTTTATTTGACAAAGAGAAAAATATTTCTTAAAAGCAAGGCAATTCATGTATTTAAAATTTGGCTCAATTGTCAAATGAGATTATTGATAACATCCAAAAAATGGCACGGGAAATACTCGATACTGTTCAGCTAAGGCTACTGTTTAAAAAGACAGCTGGTTTTTAACATGAAGGCTATTTCAGGATATTCTGCATAGGTTATAAAATTAAAAAATAAAGATAAAAGTTTCATCCTATTACTTATGTGGTTTTGTAACAAACAACAGCTTACCTTTACACAAAATTTTAGATTGTCATCTATAATACATTTAATTACAGTGACATAATTATCCATAATAATATAGACAAAAATCCCAAATTACCTTACACTTATTCCGAGTACTGGTCATTCTGTTCATCAGAAAGCTGAAAGTCCGACTCACTTTATACTTTTCAGATTCATTTTTTGAGGGTACAAGGTATTTATTCCATTCCTCCACCTGAATCCTAAAACAGAGACGAGTGAAAAAACTAAACAGTTCCTTAAAACAGAGCAGAATCTGGATGGTTACATATCTATATCTATAGCAAACAGAGGCACATCCCTACTGTGCATGTCCCACACAGCAAATCCCCACTGCAGGACATGCATGGCAGGGAAAGGGAGCTGGGCTGAGCTCAGTACAGGGTTTAAGCATGGGCTGACAGGTCCCCTAGGCAGGAATTGCTCCCCTAAACCGCTGGTAAAAGCCAGTTGTGAGGGGTGCCGAGGCCTCTTCCCTGCTCTGCTCCCTAGATGGCATTTTTGCTCCCGGCACCTCAAAACACAGGTGTGACCAAAACCCTTACCTTTTCTCTCGGGACTGCTCAGGCAGGCTGTACGCTCGCTCTGCAAGACATGAACAGTTAATGAGCACTCTGACTGCAAGGTCGTCATATTTGTTTGAAATGCACAACCTCCACCAGGCCATAAGCTTCTTGTTAAGTGCTTGCAACCTCATTTGAAAATTAGAAAAGCAATAAATATATATATATATTAGAAGCAGCTTTTTCTAGGATAATACCACTGCCTACTAAGCTTTGTTTAGTTGGCAGAATCTGCCACAATGGAGATGGGTATCAGTGAATGCCACTCTCTGCAAACAGTCTGATTTTAAGAATAACAAAAAATATTTATTTTGTTTTATTCCTACCTAGAGAAATATCACTAATCCATGTACTGCACAGAACATGTAACATGTTATAAGCTTACATTCTGGATAAAGTACGGACAACTGAAAGAGATACTTTTCAAAAAAGTGTCTAAAAGGCAAAATAAAAGATAAACAATTCAGTTGGGTTGTTTTGGAAGTTAAAAAAAAACCAGACTCCTTTACCATTTCCAAATTAGAAGTCAACCCATTTTGCAGAGATTTTTTGCCAAGGGTATGATTTAGAAAGATACTCAAACACCTGCCTAAGTCAAAGCATCAGGCTATGCCTTATTTAAAGTTAGACAGAAACTTAAACATGCTTTGCTGAATCAGCGTGTCTTCAGACAAACATAGGCTTCGGGTTAGTGACAGCTAGAGTTTTTAAACAAAGACATAGCAACACTAAAACAGCATTTCAGTTAGTTACCAGGCACAACCTGTGCCACAAGTTGCTTTCAGAAGAAACAAAGGCCATGTATCCATGAGAGATGAAGGCAGCCTCATGCAAAACAGTGCCATGGGGTTGGTGTTGCAGTACTTACTACAGGGGTGGAGAAGAGAGACTGACTTAGGGAGTGAAAGAGCCTGAAGGAGGGACTGACCACTGTTCATGAGCACACCATCTACAGAGCAGGGACAAAGTTTTTACTGTTACAGTCTGGTAACACCTTCTTGAAAGAAAGCAGGTAGTTATTTAGAATTTGAGCATACTGAAAAGCTTCCATCAGAAATGAATGGTGATTTCCCACTTTTTTTTTGTACCTTGTGTGAGAAAGACCAGCCTGTTGCCATACTGCAGGCTTCTGCTTTCGCTTACATTTAATTGCCACATACAAGGTCAGCAGCACCTCCCTCCTGCATAGCTAAGACATGAGTGAGGTGTTTGAAGTGCTAGCAGCTGGGGAGAGGGGAAGGGGCAGGTTTTCAGTTTGCAGACACCACTGCCAGCTGCCAAATGCTCTGTTCCATGCTCCCATCCCCACAAGAGGGAGGGACAAGGCAGAAGGTGCTGGTGCCAGGGAACTGCCAGCAATTGAACCTCAGCAGATCACTGCCCTCCCTCCCAGCAGCACACCCCACCTGCCTGTCTCCAAAGCATGGACAGGAAAGGGTTTCCACTTTCTCCACAGCACAGGTAAATATCCAGCACTGACTCTCCTGGTGAAAAGGGAGAGAGAATGGACAGGACGTGTGCCTGAGCCTAAATCAGGTCAGAACAGGTACTAGTTCCTGGATTAAATTTAACGGGCTGTGACACCAACAGTCCTTTCAGCCGCAAAGTCAAAGGAATTCTGTTTTAACTTTAGGCATATGCCACAGGACTTTGCTGATCTGCAATCCTCCACTCCTGTGATATATTTTTCTCAATTTCTTCTACCTCATTTTGCCAAAGACTTCTCACCTAATCTATAGGATACAAATGGTTACAGGTACGTAAGGTGACATGGAAAAATACAACACAGCACACAGTCCCCCTTACAAGACAACATGAAATTTTACAGTGAATTTGAGCAACAAGAAACAAGTTACCTGCTGCACCGCTTAACACAATTTCTCAAGGAAAAAAAACCAAATGTCTTTATTCACTGTATGTTTGCCCATCAGCTTTCTCCATCTTACAATCCCAACAGCTTTGAATTTGATAACTGGTTTCAAGGTTAATGATAACATTCCCACAACTTTTGTGTGTTTTGACATTCAGTGCCATAGAATCATGGCATGGTTTGGGTTAGAAGGGACTTTCAAAGATCACCTGGTCCAACTCCCCTGCCATGGGGGCTCAAAGCCCCATCCAACCTGACTTTGAACACTTCCAGTGATGGGGCATACACAACTTCTCTGGATGTCCATCCTATCTGGTTCACTGTAACTCATAACCAGTCTGCACTTGTCTTGCCTCTTGCTCAGGACTTGTGGAAAGGTAAAGGTATGCTGGAGGGAGAGACGAGTTGGAAGTATGGCAGTGGACAGGGTTGTAAGGGACAGAGGACAAGTTTCTTGAAATGCAAATGTTTTTCACATGATGTGATCTATATGAAAAACACAGTATACATATTTGACACTTTGCATGGTTTTCAAATATAACCTATACCATCACTGACAAAAGTGTAAGCTGACTTCTAAATATGAAACTCTATGTCTAGAAATAAAGCATGCTAGAAACAATTTGTAAAAAATTACAGGCTTCTTTCATAGACAGTCCTCCGACTCCACTTGATGGAGAGGGGGGTTTTGCTCCCCAGCCTGTGAAGACCACAGCCCATCCACATTGCAGAGATTCCCTGGGATCTGCAGGAAGCTGGGGCCATCCACCCTCCTTGAAACCACTTCAGTGTCATCCTGAGCCTCCCTGCAGTCTCTGCTGGGCACCCAGGAGGAGGGTGGGG